CGTCGTCCTTGGCTCCCACGGGCCTAGCGTGGCGGCCTGGCTCTCCGGCGTAATGGGTATCATGCTGCTCGCGCTCGTGCGGTACTCCTTCTGCTTGCTCTGGTCCTCCGGCTCGACGTCTATCACTTTATATCGCCGGCTCTTGCCCTCGCCCAGGACCTGTGCCACCTCGCCTAGTATCCAGTCCGAGGCGGCTTCCCCGCTGACCGTCTTTGGCTTGAAGGCGACCGACTCCCCCTTGGAGAAGACGACCTTGGATCTGCTCACTGCACCCCCCGTCAGGCCAAGAGGTGTCGAGACTCCCTGCGGCTCGACACTCTCTGCCTTCGGCGGCATGCTATCCCTATCCCTCTCTCCTCTCTGACTCTCGCGGTCTCGCTCCCGAGGGTTTACACGATCGCCGAACTTGCGCTGTGACCCGGACGCATGAGGGCTCGGGACGGGCGAGTCCCCCGCGCCGTCAAAATCATACAGCGCAGCCGCAGAGGCGGCGGTGTCCCTCGCCGAGCTCCTCTTGGACGGGCCGGCAACGGCCGCCTCGGCCTGCTCCTTGGCGACGCACACGGCCCGCAGGATCTTGAGCTGGTCCACCAGCTCCTTGGCCTTGAGGATGTTGTCGTCGGACTGCCTGACGCCGGCGCGGCACAGCTGCTCCATCTCCTTGAGCGAGGCGCCGGGGATCTTCTCCGAGTCCATGCTCCCCATCTCCTTGTCCATCTCGACCAGCTTGGACAGGCCCTTGCTCTCCGCGTTGACGCCCACTACCACCTCGCTGACCCGCGACTTGATCGACTCCCAGAGCTGCGCCTCCTCGCCGTGGTCGCTGTTGGCGTTGTTTCCATTGTTGCGGTTCGACCCGCGGCCGCTTCGGTTGCGCGACGACATGTCGCTTTGAGCTTCTGGGATGCGACGCTAGCTGCACGCGCGAACGAGGGCGTGAGGAAGAGGGGTTGGTTTTGGTTCGTGTTTGGTTTCTTAACGTCGGGGATGCGAAGAAAATAGAGAGGCTAGCCGAAGACGAGTTTGGCCCATCTTATTTTGGGTAACGACCCGTTCTTCGATCCCGTAGTTGTGTTGACTTGGGCTTCACGGTATCTGGAGGTAAATGGGCGATGTCGGTTGTCGAACGGCAGAATAAGGCGGTCAAGAGGTCAAGCTTGGCCCCACTGTTGACAGCGGGGAACTGCGGGATCAGCCAATGCAAATGCGCCGAGATCCAACAATGCTCCGCAGGGCAAGAGACAATAGAAAGAGCTTCTATTTCCATATAGGTACGCAGGTTTGATTTGGGAGGATTAAGGTAGTTTCTATTGTTCACGCATTGCCGTTTCAAATCGATACCACCTGATCGCAGCTGCATCATCTGAAGAGATATCGGATCTTGTCCGCCATTATGAGTTTGATTTTTTCTACCGTGTCTGTACCATTCGCGCTGCATAAATGCTTTCATCTCTCGTAAGCCACAATGGGCCAAAATCATAGCTTTTCCTTGTCGCCCTCAGCAATCTCGCAGAATGCCTTGAAGGTGACGAACTCATCGCCATCCTCCCCTTGAGATTCCAGAACGCATTCTGCAGTAGCACCGACAAAATAAACGTATCCCTCCTTAATTTCCTCCGTCTTGGGACCGACAGAGATCTTTCCCTTACCGCCCGTGCAGATAATTATGCTTGGGCCTGCCAAAGGTTCAAAAGTTGCTTTGCTTCCGTCACCGTTGAGTGCGGCGCGAACAACACTGAATTCCTCGATAGGAGGGTCGTACAGGTCCACGGATGAGGCTGAACTGTAGCCTTTGCGATTCAGGGTAGCGTAGGGATACTCTGTAGGTTTCATCTTTTGCTCCTCGATAGGGGCAAAGTTGTAAGTCAACATGGATACCAAGGTATCTGTGTCCTTGAACTTGGGAGTCAACCCTGCGCGGACTACATTGTCCGAAGCGGCCATGCACTCGATAATGTCCCCAGATATGTATGCGTGAATATCATCTGCGACAAGAAATAAGGCTTCACCAGGTTGTAGAGTGACATAGTTGAGGAAGAAAGCCACAAACAGACCAATGTCGGACCCAAACTGGCTATTGAGGCGATTTACTAATTCGGAGAGGATCTCGCCCGATGTAGATGGGACACCTCCATCAGCGAACTCGCCACCCTTGGACTTGGCCAGTTCAACAAGGTTAGCGATCTCGCGGCTAATGCTCTCCGCCGACGAAGACATAAGCCCAGAAAACGCCTGTTTCAAAGCGTCTTTCTGTGCAGCGGTGTCTGCATGCTCATCCTTGGCAATGTCTATGAACCGTGAGGCAGCATCCTCGCCCACCAGTGTCCTCAACGGAGGCACAGACTGGAGGAAATGGGCTACCTCAGCCAGGGGGCGGAAACCGCAGAAACCCTCAAACGGCGTGATGGCAATAGCCATCTCGGGCTTGTGATTATCGTCGGGGTAGTTTTTGGGATCTCGGGCATGAAGCTGCTCTGCCAGGGTCTTGTTGGGATGGGCTTGAATCGACAGCGCTTTGTTGATGGAGAGCACCTTAAACAAAAAGGGCAGGGTGTCGCCATATTTCGAGATGACATCAGAAGAGAGGAGTGCTTTGTTCTCGCTGAAAAGCTCGAGGAGGGTGCGACCGGTTCCAAGATCTTTGGAGGGATTCTTTGGATGCGTGCCCATCCATAGCTACCATTTCGTCAGAGCCATGAACTCTCTTTTGAGTGAATAAAGGCATCATACCTCTGCGTATGGCTGCTCGGACTGGATGCTGAAGTCGGAAGAGGGTGTCGCAGCAGCGTAACGGGCGGCGGCAGAGTCGCTGCCAATCTTACCCCACTCGTAGGAGTTGACACCGCATTGAAGGCGGAGGAGCGGTGGTGGAAGCATCTTGTCGACAGGCACTGCGGAAGAGCAGATATGGCGGGATGAGGGGATGCAGGATACCAGGAACGAGCAAGCAGGCAAGCAGCTTGCAGCTGAGCTGAGTGACCCTAGCTGTAATGGCGGGGGAGTTGGTATTGACGTCAACCTACCTCCCAAGGCACAGCAGATGGCAGCGGTCTCGGAGGAAATTGGCGGTGGGGGAGGAAATGTGTTGGAAACGTGTTTGAATAGGGCGAAGGCGATTGGCGAGCGAGGAGCGAGGATACGACACTTCTGGACGGGATGTCAATGAACAGGTAAATCAGTTGCTTGTCAATTCAAGCTGCCACCAGATGCTCCACCATCAAGCAGCCCGCTTCAGTTCATGTTCCCCTGATGGAAAGAGCACCCCGCTGTGGATCACTGCGTCGGGGTGATGATCTCCCCAAGATTAAAGGCTCCAGTGTCTCTCCAAGGACAACAACTATTGCAAAGCCGAGATCAATAATTACAATTGAATGCATCAGAACGCAATAATACACTTGTGATTGCCCCAAATCCTAGTACGCATGATTCTTGTACAGATGTGGTGCCTCTCGTCGTGCAAACAGGAGCAGGGTTAAGACAGTACCTCATACACCTAACAATTTGTGCTGCCCATCAAGTACCTAGCTATCCATCACTGAAACTCAGCTCCGATTCGTTCCCATCATCCCAGGATTAACTGGGAGGTACGGACCCAATGACCAACCAGCCAAGTGACCAACTTCCTCGGTGTGCCTCTGCTGTCAATGGACTGCTTGTAATCATCTTCTCGCTGCTCCTGTGCCCAAAGTCTGTAGGGCTCGCGTTGTTGGCGTCCGAACCGGCCCGAGTCCCGCGCTCAAGACCAAACCAGCGTGCTTCGACTCCTGCTCCAAGCCCTCGGGTTCTTCAAGACAGCTGCAGTGGCACTGTAAATCCTCCTTGTCCGTTGACACGGAATGCTTCCGCCCTCCCACGAGGCAACCCTCGATCGGAACTTTCTAAGCACCATCAACCGTCATGCGAGTGCCATTTATGGCATGCTCCAAAGTTAGACCGGTGACAGGCCACAGTCGGTCACACGTATCACATCTTTTGGCCAAGGGGTCAGGACGGATTGGGCCCTGGAAAGGGAAATCTGACAGCTGTGTGCTTCCCTTTTGACAAGCTCACCACGTCAAATTGTTTGTGATCGTTCCCTCAACCTGGAGCCCTTGACAGCCGTCAATCTCGGCCACTCTCTTGCACAACATCCAGGAGCCTCGAGCTACGTCTCGATTTGTCCCTGCATTTCCGCATACCCCCTATCCTTGCTATCCAAGTTGAATTGGCACAGATGAAGAGATCAGGGCTGGAAGGAAATGCAGAAAATGCACGATTCGAGGGCGAGCCATCGCAGCGTGCGCTCTTTACAAGTGTCACAAGGGCAGGCATATCACTGGTTACTATTCACGAACCAAAACATTCCCCAAATCTTGAGATTTTTATTCCTTAGTACTGTTTCCCTTAACTAGCGCAACGTGCAAACTTTTCCTCTCCATTTCTTCCTTTTTTTTTCAGTTCCCCCTTTTCGAAAATGGACAAAAATAGACAAAAGCAAACCAAAAGGAAAGAAAGATCTAAAAATGCTGGGCCGGCCGTGCTCATCCGAAGGGCGGCAAGGTAAGTAAATACGTATTGTATCAAACGAAACGCTTCCAATACCAGGCCTAGAAGCCTGCCGCCAACTCCAACACAAAGCGAGGATACCAGCCCTGAAGAAAAATTTTCATCAACCCAGATAACATCACCAGGATAGAAATCGAAGGTTGGATTTTTCCACGAAAGAAAAATGGGTTCGTCATGCTCACAAGGACTGCATGTTCGAGAGAAGCTTGAGGAACATGGGCAGTGCTGCTCACTGACAAACCGACAGGAAGGAGATGGTCGAATGGTCCAAAGTTGGGGCGACGAAGATGTTTCTCTGGATGAAACCAGAGGGCACCATCCGTCGCCAAAGACGAGGCAGAATGAACTGCATTGCTCCAACAATGGTTCGACTAGAACAGTCACCAGAGACAAGATGGGTGGCCACAAAAGACGGGATAGCGAGCGACGGCAGATTGGCAACCTGAACAGGGCAACTAGTGGTTCATAGTTGGGGGCTTGTGCTCAACCTCAGACAGACCATCAGGATAGCAATTTTGATGAGCCTGGAATTGAGCCACTGGAGACGACGCAGCCTGAGCCAGTCGTCGACCAGACGCGCCAACGGCTGCTGCCTGTGCGCTCATGTCTGTGTAGACATAGGTGCTGGTAGTTGGAGGCGGAAATTGCGTAGTTAAAGAAGTCGACGTGCCAACCAATCCATTGTAGCTATGGGGAGAATCTCCCTGTGTAGCAGAGATCATGCCGGAGTAGGCGGATCCTGGTGAAGTAGTGTAACTACCATAACTAGTGGAGGGAGTCAAAGGCTGGAGTGAGCTGGTCGGCGAAGGGCTCGACTTGCTATAAGTGTTGATTCCTCCCAGGGGCTCAACCTTGGATCCGATATTTTCATTGATGGAGGCCGTGTCATGGAGATGAAGCTTTTCTGTCAATAAAGAAGGGAGAAGACCATGAGGGACGGTGTTCATGGGATAGCTGCTTCCTGACCCAGCCGGGCACCTGTCAACCAGAGTGGCTGTAGTAGCCATAGCCGTCGTCGGCTGTGCGGTGAATGTGTACGACCCAGGGTCGGAGTTGAGATAGCTGAAGTGCTTCATGGGGGCCATTTCACAGGATGCCAGCTGGCATCTGATATCTTGGGTCTGAGCATACATGCCGGTATAGTTGGCGGTGGGAGCTCCGGCATCCGCCTCTGGCAGTTGAGCATAAAACCCACCAGAGCTCCACGAATAGGACCTATCCGGGCTGCCTGGTCCAGATCGACATGCGGTCGGGGAGATGGGGTCTTGGGCCCAAGCAGGAGACCCAGTCTCCTCGTACATGGATGGAAGGGGAGCTGCAGACTGTGAAGCCAGTCTAGCTCGGGCCTCTTCGAAGCATCCTGATGGGTATGATCGGGAGTATCCCTCGTAAGGGAAACCCGGGGGGGGACGTCCATTGTTGTCCTTCAGATTGGTTTCAAGCGATGCGACCTATAGGTAAAGGAGAAGTTGAGCAGAGTGTTAGCCATTGAAAGGTACAGGCCAGCCAGGAACGGAACTGGGGGGGGCAGAGGAAAGAAGACTTACTCGAAGAAAGCGGCAAGGCGAAGCGCCAGCATTTCTGCAATTAAGGCAAGGTTCTCCATTGCCGTTGTCACCTGAGCAACGAATCTTTCTCTTTCTGCAACGTCCACACTTTTATCATGCATGGTTAGACCAATCATCATCATCAAGAAGTTTGTAAAACGTACCGCAACAGCAATTCTCTTTCTGTTCGTGTTGGTTTCATCTGTCACTTCATCGTCAACACCTGTCATCACACCATGGTCATTGGGAGGGGGCCAATTGGACTTACCAGTTCCAGATTCCGGTGAAGCGTATGGGGGACGATAGTCAGATTGAAAGGGGGTAAAGCGAAAGTGGGCAGGCTGGAAAGTATGACGGTTGACCATGATGAAATGCGAAGTCGAGGCTTTGTCTAGAGAACTGATCTGTTGGTCAACTCATTGCCCAGGCTTCTTATACTTGGCACAACTTACATTCGATCAGACACACGCAAGCGGGTGTCACTGGAGAATGGTTGAAGGCGGCGAAGGGAAAGTTGAGACGAGTGTGCAAGAACAAGGTTGATGAAGCAAGAGAGTGATGCGATGATCAGAAGAAGGCGAAGGTAAAACAGCAGATGGCCACCAAAGGAGATTGACTCGATGGAAGGTAGAGAAGATAGATAAGAAGGGTTGAGAAGGTTGAGAAGGTTGAGAGTGATGAGAGATCGAGGACGAAGAAGGGAGAGGGAAGGACGCTTCTTATAGTCGACTTTGGAAGGCGTCCCTCTCTCAGAAGCGTGGTGTACGTCTTCGAGGGGTGGCTTTTAGACAACGCCCTCCTCACCTCACTCCCCCTCCGGACCAAGTGCCCAACTCTTGGCTGACCGCACAGGTCAACATCTGTTGTGTTGTGTAAAGGCGCGCAACAGCCTGCATGCGTTTGCTGCCATGGATGGCAGCCCCACCAGGAGACGGGGCCATGTTTGCCAGGGATCAGTCGCTGCAAGTTTGCCTGGTGCTCTCAGAGGCACGTCAAGAGCCTACTGAGCTGCTCTCATGCCCTCTGGTCGCACGGCAGATGTCATGCCAAACCTCAGCCAGGCCCAGCGAGACTCCAGGCACCACCTCGGACACTCAGCAGTATGGGCGTGCAGCCAGGTCTCGTCAGGAAATGGTACATCGAGACGTCTCTGCTGCTGCCTCTTCCTTTTTCCAAAATCTAGGCAGCAAATGCAGGCGGCCAACTTGGCAAAGACAAGACAGTTACAGACTGCGGACGAGGACGTTCGAAGTCAACGAAAAAGAGGGGCCCGTTGCTTTGGCCTTCGCACGTCTCATGCCGGTCAGCGTCCAGGTGGCGCTGGAACCTAAAGACCTGCAGACCTGCAGATAGAGCCTGTTACAATACAAAATTATCTTCAAGAGTCACTTGGTGGCTATACTCTACCGGCGATAGGACCTCCGCTCAGAGTGCCGAGACCTGGAGCACGTCGGTATTAGGCAGCGGGGGAACAGGAAACCAGGTTCTTCTCTTTTTCGTTTCTTTTTTTTTCCCGTTCGGCTGAGCGTTGCGAACGGAAAGATGCAGCAAGATCCCCCCATCTCGCGCATTTCGAACGCTTTTCGAACGCCCTTGGCAATGCAACAACGGCTTATCAGGCCCAACCGCACCGCGGTCAAGATGCATCGGCCAGGCTGCCTTGGGGGTTATTCTAGCAGCTGGCCCAGATGGAAGTGAAAGTGTGCTGCTTGAACCCTCGCACAAGGTCCGTGCCTGCAAAGACACGTTTCTCTTGCGTTCACCTCTCCTGGGCCTGGAGTAACCCAAAGCCACAGGCGCATGAGACTCTCCCAGGTCCTTGAATCTATCGACATTTTTTCCTTCCTTTTTTTCTGCACCTTGCTTCTTTATCTTCTCCCGTCGGGAAGGGAACTTTGCTCGTCCCTCGACCGGAAGTGAGGCTGCTGATGATTGAGAAAACAGCGCCTGGAACGGCTGGCCACATCGAGATATCTCTGCATGATGCAAGTATAAGACAAACGCAGACAAGGCCAAGCAGCCATTCCAGCGCTCTCTGCCTGCGGGCGCGGAAATGCGCCACACGGCCAGCTCCTGGCGTGCGGTCGCACCAGAAACTCTCTGTATCATAAGCATCCGCCGTGAACAATCCGGCCCCCTCCTCTTCAGCGAAGCAGGCGGTGTTTCTGCGTGCATCACTGCTCACTTGACAGTTCTTGCAGAGGGGAGTAAGTCGCACGAGAACCTCACGTCTATGATCCCCCCCCTTCCGTACGGTCCTTTTTTCACTCGTGGTGTTTGTCATTGATGCAACGAGAAGTCCACCCAAGAGGATAGGAGCAAGACTCATCCCTTCTCTGAATACTGTGCACGGTAAACATAGATAGACGGTACAGCCACCCATGGCCCAGCGTCCTGAGCGGTGATGGGATGTTGGGTGGGCACATACGGCACATGCCAAGCATGGAAATCTGCAGATGCACATCAGCTTCGTTGAGATCCCCCCCTCATCGATCGGACCATCTTGCCTTATTCGGTCACGGCTGGAGCTTGGTTCTCTCCCGGACCCATCTTTAGGACGCCGTTGATACAATTCATATATTGAGGGGGCCAGATGAACCGGGTGGCTACTGATAAACGCATTCACACAGACCGCCACGCCACCTCATCTACCCAAGGAGAGCCTGATGGGAGTATTGTGAAGGCTGATGCAGATCCCAGGTCGAGAACAGATCGGCAAAGCCATGTAGCAATTGGGATGTAACACCCAATCCGTGGGGAAAGTTGCACAAAGCAGACGTGTGAAGGCTCGCAGAACCTGGATGTCTAGTGACAAGGGCCAGATTCATGTCATACCCTGCCTAACCTCCATGAATAAGGCTCGGGCATCTGGAAGCCACTCCATCATCTCCCGTGCCGCTTGGCTGTCGCGCGTTCGAGGCCTGAGCGTGTGAAGAGATCTCTGTTCATGCGTTTCGTTTGGTCTCTCCATCCGACCATCCCCGTCGTCCTTCATCTCTACTTTTGGATTCCTCTGCCTTAGTCTACTAGGGGGGGTGTGGCACATGGCATCCAATGGGAGTGTGCCAGCCATGCCCATTTGTTGTGTTCCATGTCAAGGACATGGCAGATTGCACCAGGCACCGCTTCGTCGGACAACAAACACACTAATCAAGAAAAGACTGAGCACAAGCAAGGGGCCGGCTGAACGTCAGGTAGCCGTTGTGGTAGAGATGTTGAGGTGAGTAACTCTACAGAATATTCTACAAACTTCCGACAGCGCTTCCCTCTGTCCACGACCAGTCTCGTGGTCGAACGAGGCCCGGCCCAGTAACCGCGCTCGCGGCTCTCGAAAGAGAACAACCGCCGTCGTAATTTCTCTCCGTATTTTCAATGGTAGACTGTTCATTTGCAGCTCCGTGGCCCAGACCAGACGCACAGCATGTTCCATGTTGCCATGCCGGTCAAAAGTGCACGTTACAGCTCCAGCACGCCTGAGGAAAGAGAGAACAGAGCCCAACCACTCCATCGCTGGCACGGGAGGCTGCAGAACATCCGCCCATCTATACCAGATTTGAAAGCACCTGCGGGAAATCCAGGCAGGCGGAGAGACATACAGTCTACCGGCACCTGTGGCGGGTTGCTGCCTTCACACGGGGGGGCAGGGGAATAGCGGAAGGCAGCCTCATCTCAGCCTGATGTCGTGTATCCGAGATACCACCCTCCCACCCCCATCGGTCCAGAGCCAGCTTCCAGGTACATGGCTACGTTGCGAGGTGGCGAGCCGGGTCTCCGCCCCTGACTACTCTTGCCAGCGTCTATCTGTCTCAGACAAGACGCACCAGCAACAAGAAGGAGCATAATGCCCTTTCTTTTCGAGATCCGACTTCCCCGGTCATACAGAGTGAGCTTGGGGGGTAACCATTGGAAGCACAACGCTTTGATCTCAGTCCAGCCTGTCCTCAGGTCACCATCCCAGCCAGTGTCTCATTCTAGAGCTTGGCAAGAAGTGCTATCCCTCCAGGTAAAGTATCGAGGTCGATGAGGTTGGGAAGACGCAGCAGTGCAGAACTTAATCTACTATAGCAAAGGCACTTTGCTATACTCAGACTATCGGGCTCTAAAAGACACTCCAATTGTTTGTAGCTAGCTACTCCTAGAGGGCATCTTGCTTCCTCCCAAGGATACGAGGCACCCACATCCTGCGCGTTCCATGTATCCTAGCAACTTCCATGACGATACTTAGGAGAATATCATGTACAGCCCAATACGCCACCAAGTTTCAGGTTTCAGATAAACGCAGAAAATAGATGCCGTCCATCCCGTTGACGCCCTCATCTCAACAAAAAAAAAAAGAGCTCGGTCTGCGTGTAAAGGGCGTCGTGCGACGTCCGTCCGCTCAACGATTGGGCACAGCGCGTTCCAAAGCATCAACAAGGTCATCAGGGTGGATGAGCTGTCTGAAACTTGGGTCGGTCCTAAGGCAGAATTTACGGGCATAATGAGAAGAGAATGTAGGGAGCCGTCTGCACGGTTCTCTTCTTCGCTGCGGTCTCTTCATGAGGCGAGGTTACGCTGGGGATGTACCCAGAGAGGGATACTGACTCCGTCCCCATGCCCATGGCAAGGCCAAGTCAACCACGTTTGACGAGCCACGTCGATAGAGGAGCGGACAGAGAGCGATCTGAGCTGAGGTTGCAGTTGCACTTCTGAGCTTGGTACATAAGACTCTTCCGATGTTGGAATACTCTCCTTCGTGTGTGCTCCCATACTGGAGAGGTGGAGAGCAGCCACGTAGTCGCCTCCGGAGGGTAGAGGTATGTGCAACAGAGTATCAATGTCTAAGGTTTATTTTCCCCGTAGCTCTGACCCCTTCCTGAGAGGGAAGAGGACGAGAAGACCGCCATGGTATGCGGGATGGGCTGCAGCACTGTCTACACTAGGTCAGATGGGTCTCCTCTCGTTACTCGACACAGTTTGTACCATTGTTTTTCCATTCTGCTGCGTGTATCTACCCTTTATCTCGATGATTGCTCGTCTCTCGGCCAGACTTCTGCACCAAACAATCGACTATAGGGTGGCTCAGAGGCCTGCTTGATGGAGCCGTGGGAAGATAGTCGATGCCTGTGCAGAGCGCGCCGTAGCCCATCGGCCAATGCTCGCCGACCACAGGAACAACAACTGCTACACATGACCTTCTTGTGTTGGCCCTCCCACTGGCCTGTGCAGTCGCCTGTGAAACCCCCACCGCCCGCTTGACTTGACCCATCACCAGTGCTCACTCACCCTTTGAGATCTTCGTCCGCAAGCACTCCGCCGCGGATATCTTCTTTCCGGTCTTCCTCTGCTCTCTCTCTCTCCCATCCAACCATCATGACCGGTTTGC